AGATGGAAAACAGCTGGCATACTTGATGTTGCTGTTTTACACATAATGAAATCGAGGCTCAGAGACTTCACTGATGCAGCAGAAACTGAATTGCTAGTTACTAGGAGCAACAAGACTTAACTTCAAGTTTTCTGACTCACTCTTACAATCTTCAAAGGCTTCCTATTTTCTCAGCGTGGAATTACAATTCTTTATTGTATTTTCCAAGGCTCTGCACGATCTGGCTTCTGCTTGCCTTTCCAAACTCATCTTAATACCAACTCCTATTCCAGGAATACCGACTGCCTTTCTCTCCCTCAAACATGTGACATCATTTTCCTGTTTCCAGGTTTAACCGCTGCCCAGAGAGCCTGCCCCTCTGTCTCTGACACGTGGGTGAGTCTCACTGGCTGACAGCTCAGATGTCACTACTCAGAGAGGCCTTTCCTGACCATCCCCGCTTGAGTGTACTCTCCCAGTGACTGTCTGTCTCCTCACCCTCTTGCTTTCCTTCATGGCACTCACTCATTCTGTGCTTTTGCTCATTGACTGGTGGGCATGTTCTGTGCTTGCCGCCTACTAGCATGTCACCTCTACGGAGACAAGGCACCTGTCTTTCTTGTTCAGGCAGTCTTCCCAGCACGTGTTCTGGAACTGGTAAACAATCTTAATGAACTGGTGCCAAGCGTTACTGCCAAGGGAGGAGAAAAGAACAGAGAACGCTAATGTGAGGCAGATGTCCTTCACCATCCCTGCGCCACGGCTTCATCGGGCTTGCCAATCCGCTGCAGTTTAGTTTCTCGTCATTCAGAGCTTATAAGCATGAGTTTGGGTGCTTCTTGGGGGTGGGGCTCATTTACAATAAAGATGAAACTAGGCAGGTATGACAGCTGTAAGTCGGGTTCCATGTGCAGCCAAACTAATTTCCTAAGACTTAGGTTTCTTGGAATGGGGACGGAGAAGAGGCAGAAGAGAAAAAGATGACAAGGAAGTTAGGGATTTGTAAGTTTAAGGATGTTGGTGTTGGATTTCTTGGTAATTTACACACCAGTTTATAACTACAATAAAAGTGAATTGAACCCCACGCATTTCTTCTGCATTCTAGGTGACCATAATTTGCTCAACTGAGTAGAAATTATGGCTGCATGTCACAGACAGCTACTGGTTATGGTGCAATAAGGAACAAGCTCTCTGGGAATAAGGAAAATGCAGCTGTTGACAAGACGCAGGAGCTCACTGCTGCCTGGTTTCAGGGCCTGGTTGATATCTGTTATCTGTTTTTGTTTTTTAAATTAAATTTTAGTACTGTAGCTACTATGTTGGAAAACTGCAAAGTCAATGGGTCAGTGGAGATAAAGAAAACGGATCTTTTGAGACTTAAAGTTTAATTCTGTCATTTCTGATTAAGCTTCTTCTTCATTATTTTGACTTCACAACAAATATAGTTTATAGTTCTTAAGATCAACTTTACTATAAAAATTACTCTAGAAAAATAACTTTCAATTGAGAATCTAAAACTCTATAGTCCCCTCCCTCACATAATATCAATACTTTTTTTCCCATTCAAAACAACGGTTTTTATGATATAATTTTCTATAACTTTTTAATAAAGGAATTAAGCTCTTATTTTATAGCATAGCAGGGTATATCTTTGGTCAGTTTTTGTTGAGAATACTATGAGAGTGACATAACTTTCCTGGCACATTTTATCAAACTTTCTAGACTCTCTTCTTATAAAATAATTTCATTACTGTATCTCTGCTATCTCTCTGTATAATCTATTTATATACATACTAATATATATTTGTATATATACATACACCCAAACAAACTTTAGGTTAATCCCCTGGGCTTTCATCATTTGAGATTTTAAGATGCAAAAATCTGGCTTGCCCTATTGTTACAATCACTAGCCCTTATGTTGTTTTTTTTTTTCTTTTTGCCTATTGTAATGTTTATTAGCTGAAAACTTTCCTTTCTTAAAATTATTGCACTTGAAATAACATTATCACTAGATTTTTTATTAGTTGTCTATTTTATACATATTAATGTATACATGTCAATCCCAATCTCCCAATTCATCCCACCCCCCGACCCCCCCTACTTTCCCCCCTTGGTGTCCATATGCTTGTTCTCTATATCTGCGTCTCTATTTCTGCCTTGCAAACTGGTTCATCTGTACTATTTTTCTAGATTCCATATATATAGAATATTTGATTTTCTCTTTCTGACTTAACTTTACTCTGTATGACAGTCTCTAAGTCCATCCACGTCTCTACAAATAACCCAATTTCGTTCCTTTTTATGGCTGAGTAATATTCCATTGTATATATGTACCACATCTTCTTTATCCATTTAGGTTGCTTCCATGACGTGGCTATTGTAAATAGTCACTAGCCCTTATATTAACTTGTCCTATTATTTCCTTCAGTTTCTAATAGCTATTCCTTTGGGAGTAATACAAGTGCACCATCTTGGTAAAGTACTTTGCTGTTCACTAACGTCAAGAACTGCTTCTTGAAAATGATCACAGTTTGTTTTTATCCTTTGAGAACTGCTAAATAAAATGTATAGCAGACACATTCACTCAGCACTGTATGACAAGTGTTAGAGATTCTACACCAATGGACAGGAACAGGCGTGGGCACCACCCTCAGTTATGTGAAAGAGGGTCAGGGAAGTCGTTCCTATAAAAGAAAGGTCTGAGTCGAAATTTGAAGGATGAAGGTGTGTTAGCTGGATTCTGAGGAGAAGATGAGAGCATTTCAGGCAGAGGGAAGAGTGTGTATAAACTTCTTATTCCAGGAAAGATTGTAGCCTATTCCAGGAGCCAAGAAGGGCCATTTTTTTTTTTTTTTTTTTTTTTTTGCAGTACACGGGCCTCTCACTGTTGTGGCCTCTCCCGTTGCGGTGCACAGGCTCCGGACGCACAGGTTCAGCGGCCATGGCTCACGGGCCCAGCCGCTCCGCGGCATGTGGGATCTTCCCGGACCGGGGCACGAACCCGTGTCCCCTGCATCGGCAGGCAGATGCTCAACCACTGTGCCACCAGGGAAGCCCAAGAAGGGCCATTTTTGAAGAGCGGGATCTGCCTCTAATGTCATCATGAAAGAGACAGATTCCCATAGCCAGACATTATCTCATAGTCACAACTTCCGACACAATTAAACGTTTCTTTCGCTAAATCACTAGTATTCTGACCCTAAATGTCTTCCATTTATCAACACCTTTGACTTTTGGAGGAAAGTTAGGCACACATAGAATCTCAGAGAATATAGGATTAAAAATGTTTCCCTTAATGTATTTGATAAAATGGTCAGAGGAAGATTAAATTACAACATGTATGATGTGATATTACAATAAGGCCCCCAAATTATCCCAAGGTGTATATAACACAATTGGTGACGGGCTCCCGAACTTCTTCTACCCCAGCCCCTGCTGCTAAACATGGGTGCAGAGGCTAAGGCTTTCTCTTCTGGGTGGGGTGTGAGGTGAGATAGAGAAATAGTGGATGATCCAGTCTCTGGATTCCAGGAGCTGGCAGAGGGATCCCATGTCCTCATGTTTTTGTGGCTCAATTTTCCAGATTCTTCAACTGCAAGTTTCCTGAATTCCATGCCACACTGTCCTGGACTCCCAGCCAGCCCCGAGATGGGGGGGTGGGAGTGGGGATGGGGAGGTAGGGGGATAGGGGCAAACTGAAGCAGGACTGTGTGGATCCATGGCTGGAGCCTTACTGACACGTTGGCCAGCTGCAGCCAAGCCATCCCATTAACCTCACAGCAGCACAACTGTGTCTGTCACACAACTGAATTTTTAGGACTCTGAGCATGGCGTTATGGAGGTCTTCTTTCACACCCATTTTGCTGTGATATTTAGAACTACACCAGATAAGACAAAGTGAAGCATAAGTGTTGATTTATGTAAGATGCATAACTTGAGGCATTGAGCAGTCCGTGCTTTCCTGATTTTCCCCAAAGCCACCTTTTCCAGTGCCCTACTTCGTCCTTGTGTCTGTGGGCATTTTTGCTCTTGCCTTAGGGGTTCTCAGAGCTTTAGCAGAGGATGCAGGTGTGATGGGGGAGATTTAAAGGTGGCTGCATTCCACTAAGCCTCCCACCAACCTTGCCTATAAAGAGAGGCTGTCAGGGAAGTTACATGAGGAGGTAAATTGTGCAGTGCCACAGGGGCTTCTTGCTTGGGGATGATGCGCAGTACAGAGCCACATTCCTTCTCCAGTCCATGAAGATGAGTTTGTGCTATTGGCTGCAAGGAATGACTTTGGTCCAGCTCTACTTGGGAAAGAGACAACAGGACTGCCATGCTCCATCCACGCCCTCCCACCCTGCAGTGTGTGTGTTGTGGAGGGAATCCAGAAGGTCTGAGGCAAGGTGGGTACTAAACGGGGGAGCGGGCAGACCTAGAAGCACACTTACACCAGCTGCAGCCCATGTGGGGAGCACTCAGGAGACCGCGGGCTCCCTCAAGGCCGTTGCATGATTTGCCCAGTGGTAAGGGTATCATCAGTCATAAGGTACGGGGAGGTATGTAAGCTGAGGAAACCTAGAAAACTGAGGGCTCCTTATTGTTCCACCGGACATGGGGTCATTTCATCCCTCAAATTTCTCTTCTTTTGCACTGGAGCTGATGTATCTCCCTTGTGATATTCCCAAAGGTCTTAGTCAAATGGAAGGTACAGAGGGAGAAGCTGAAAGATGGAGCCTCGTTCTTGAGTTATGAATCTAAATTCACTTGATTAGATTGCATTTAGCACAAGAGATCCAGAACATCTAGACTAAACAGACAGGGGTATTTGAGTTAGTAAATTAAAGCAATTCTAAACATAAAGCTGTATTTTTGTAGTACTAAATTTTAGTACTATCCTGTTTGTGAAATATAATGTCAAATATACAGGGGGAAAGAAGAGAGCGGACTCTTTCATTATTACACAGATTTCATTTCACTTTCCCAAAAGGAAACTGACTCACTTAAATCTGTGGACAGCATGAGTTGAGCCTCACCTTGCTCACAGTAGACTCCAGTGGTTCCTAGTGGACAGTGACAGGTGTATCCATGAGGCAACGAGACACAAGTTGCTCCTTTGCTGCAGTGGTGTGGAGGGTCATGCTCAGGGTCGCAGGTGGAAACTGTCTCCGTGCAAAAGGCTCCTTTCCATCCACTAGGACAGTTACAGCTGTAGGATAAGAAAGAAGGCAGCATGATTTGAGCACCTGTTGGGTATACACTCATGTATCCTCCTGATGTTAACTTGGCAGTTTTGCCTGAGGTTCCAAGACAGAAAAGATGTTGTATATGAAAGCCAATTGTGATGTAAACTACCAAGATTCACATTGTCAAAGGAAGGAGCTAATAACTGGTTATGGGATTACTGGACTCCACATTAAGGATTTTAAAAGGTTCAGCCCGTGGAAATTGAAAGAAAATTTGATGAGAATCATTTCTTTGGATGAAACAGCATTATAACTCCCTCTCCTCAACCCTACCCCACCACCCAGGGGGAAAGCTGTGGATGGAGTGGCCTCCTAACCTAAGCTTAGAAAAAAGAAGTCCAGCTTCTATATGTTCCCTGATACTGGGGGATGCACAAGCCCAGCTCCAGGGGCTGCAGAAGGAGCCTCAAACCCTTCCAATGGTGAGGCCAATGGTAGTGAACCAGGCCGGGGGCTGTGGCACTCTGAGTTAGGATCAGCTTGGGGACATATAAAAGAGACCTTGCCCAGAGGGTATCCTGGTATCTGAAGGAACCGTGGCAGTAAGAGGCAGTCAGTTTATGGCTGGAACAGAATCTGAGGGGTAAAGGGCAGTACCCATTCTGAAGAGAGACTTTGTCTTGGTTTAGAGAATGATATTGGGAGGAGCCTGGTAGGGGAGTCTCTGATGGACTCAGCAAAGGTAGAGTTGACAGATAAAATGCAGGTCACCTACTTAAATGTAAATGTCAGATAAACAATAAATAATTTTTTAGTATAAGTATGTTCCATTCAATATTTGAATTTCAGCTAAGCAATATTTGAGATAAACAGAAAAATTACTTGTTTTTTGTCTGGAATTCAGATTTATCTGGGTGTCCTGTACTTTTCTCCCTAAATCTGGCAACAATACAGTTAGGGCACATGAGGGAAACAGTTAGCTTGAAATCCCTGCCTGGCACAGAGGACACTAAACCATCAGGTAAACAGTGTGAGTCAAGGGGGCCATTCGAGGATGGTGTGGGTGCAGAGTCAGAAACCACTGGCCCAGGGAAAGACAGCAGCAGAAGATCACACCTCCTCCTGAGACCTTTCATTCATGTGATGAGCCCTGGCTGGGTTTAGGGTAATAGCCTTGAAGAGTAAAGTGTTATTAGTATTTTGATGTGGACCATTTGAATTAATGATTGAGAGTGTATTTTTAAATTTAAGAGTTTATTAGTCAAGAGAAACAGAAAGTTCAATGGACCTCCCCATGTTTTAATTCAGGACCAAGAAAAGGATGACTCTATGAAATATGGCATGGGTATTTTGATAAGGATTGCATTAAATTTGTAAGTTGCTTTGGGTGGTATGGCCATTTTAACAATATTAATTCTTCTAATCCAAGAGCATGGATATCTTTCCATTTCTTTGTATCATCTTCAATTTCCTTTTTCAGTGTTTTACTGAACATGGGGCTGTTTCACCCCTCAAATTTCTCTTCTTTTGCACTGGAGCTGATGTATCTCCCTTGTGATATTCCCAAAGGTCTTAATCAAGTGGAAGGTACAAAGGGGGAAGCTTAAAGACGGAGCTTCATTCTTGAATTTCAGAGTTTTCAGAGTATGGGTCTTTCACTTCCTTGGTTAAGTTTATTCCTAGGTATTTTATTCATTTTGACGCAATTTTAAATGGGATTGTATTCTTACTTTCTCTTTCTGATAGTTCATTTTTAGTGTATCAAAATACTCATGACATATTTCACAGAACGAAAGCAAATATTCCTAAAATTCATATGGAAAAACAAAAGACTCCAAGTTGCCAAAGCAATCTTGAGAAAAAAGAACAAAGCTGGAGGTATCATCTCCCAGACTTCAGACTATACTACAAAGCTACAGTAATCAAAACAGCATGGTGCTGGTACAAAAACAGACACATAGCTCAATGGAAGAGAATAGAGAGCCCAGAAATAAACCCATGCACCTGTGGTCAATTAGTCTATGACAAACAAGGTGAGAATATATAATGGAGAAAAGACTGTCTCTCCAACAAGTGATGCTGGGAAAACTGGACAGGTACATGTAAAAGAATGAAATTAGAACATTTCCTCAGACCATATAAAAAAATAAACTTAAAATGGATCAAAGACCTAAATGTAAGACCTGAAACCATAAAACTCATAGAAGAGAATGTAAGCATAACACTCTTTGACATAAATCATAGCAATCTTTTCTTTGGCTATATCTCCTAGGGTAAAAGAAATTAGAGCAAAAGTAAACAAATGGGACCTAATTAAGCAAAAAGCTTTTGCATAGCAAAGGAAACAATAGACAAAAATGAAAAGAAAACCTATGGAATGGGACAAAATATTTGCAAATGTTATTACCAATAAGGGGTTAATACCCAAAATATATAAATAGCTCATACAACTCAATATCAATAAAAACCCAACCCAATCAAAAAATAGCAGAAGACGGGGCTTCCCTTGTGGAGCAGTGGTTGAGAGTCCGCCTGCTGATGCAGGGGACACAGGTTTGTGCCCTGGTCCAGGAGGATCCCACATGCCACGGAGCGGCTGGGCCCGTGAGCCATGGTCACTGAGCCTGCGTGTCCAGAGCCTGTGCTCCACAACGGGAGAGGCCGCAGCAGTGAGAGGCCCGCGTACCGCAAAAAAACAAAAAACAAAAACAAAACAAAACAAAAAAATGGCAGAAGACCTAAATAGACATTTTTCTAAAGAAGACATACAAATGGCTAACAGGCACATGAAAATATGCTCAACATCCTTAATTATTAGAGAAATACAAATCAAAACCACAATGAGTTATCACGTCACACCTGTCAGAATAGCTATTAGCAAAAAGACAACAAATAACAAGTGTTGGCAAGGATGTGGAGAAAAGGGACCCCTTGTGCACTGTTGGTGAGAATGTAAATAGTGCAGCCCCTATAGAAAACAGTATGGATTTTCCTCCAAAAACTAAAAATAGAACTATTATATGATCCAGCAATTCCACTGCTGAGTATATATATCTGGAAAAAACAAAAAGACTAATTTGAAAAGATACATGCACCCCAGTGTTTATAGCAGCACAATTTACAACAGCCAAGGTATGGAGGAAGCAACCCAAGTGCCCATCAACAGATGAACCATAGATTTTTCCTTTTACATTTAAGTCTTAATACTTCTGAAATTATTTTTTTTGTCTTTGATATGGGGTAAGGATTCAATTAAAGTTTTCCACATGGATAACCAATAGTCCTAACACTCTTTATTGACTTGTTCATCCTTTTTCACTAATGAGCCCTGTCCATTTATGCAAGGTCCTGTGCCTCTCCACCCTGTTCCATTAGTCTGTTGGTCTGATCTTGTGTCTTAATTTCTCCCACTTTATAATAGGTCTTGATATCTAGGATGGCAAATTCTGCTACCCTTGTTCAGGGTTGTTTTGGCTATTCTTAGCCCTTTGCTCTTTCACATATTTTCCCATCAACTAGTCCCAAGTTCAAGATAGGCAAATTTTCTTGCTTTCTTCTTGTTGTAAAATGGGGTTTCTTTTTATTTCTTTCTTTTTTTTTTTTACATTGAGGGTGTACCTCTTAGAGGTCCCAGGCTTGTGAGCAGTCTCCTTAAAATTCCCCACTTGTGGCAGCCCTTCGCTTTTAGGGCTGGTCCACTGTAACCTGTGCAGCCCTCAAAGGTAAATTCACAGCCCCAAGGTTTTGACAGGAACTCGCAGCAAAAGTCAACGTTGACACCTGTTTTTTAGACTCCTGCTTTCATTTCATATTGTTTTCACTTCAGGTAACAGTGTTCTGAAAATATACATTTTATATTTTATTCAGATTTGAATATTTTCATTTGGAAATATCATTCAGTATATATAATCTCCTATACTTTCACAAGCAGAACTCCCTATCAATAAACTTTTTCAAAAGGAAATAAAACATAATATCTAGAAACATCTTTCTATATTTATTAACTTCTACAACTTCATATTTAATGGTTTAATATTATTTCATTGAATTGATGAAATATACTTTATTCTCACAGTCACTTGTGAGATATTAGTTTATTATATTATGTTTTTAAGTTTTCACTTTCTACAAACAACACTGTGATAAAACTCTTGTAACTAAATCTTTCTTTATATCTATGATAATTTTCTCGAGATAAATTCAAATATTATCATGACTTCTAGGCTTTGGATACATATTCCAACTGCCCTCCATAATAATTTTATCAATTTACATTACTATTATCAGCTTATGAGGATGCCCCCGAAATAACAGGTTTGTATGTAATTGAAAATATGGAACACTTTTACAGGCTTATTGTTTTTTACTGACCCAATAATCATTATTTTATTTCATTTTATTAAAATAAAAATGTTTTAGTGTCTGCCTAATTTTTATTTATTTATAAATAAATTTCACAAATTCTCACGTATTTATCAAGAACATATTCATTTTGGGCAAAAGACCTTAATAGACATTTCTCCAAAGAAGACATACAGATGGCCAATAGGCACATGAAAAGATGCTCAACATCACTAATTATCAGAGAAATGCAAATCAAAACTACAATGTGGTATCACCTCACACCAGTCAGAATGGCCATCATTAAAAAGTCCACAAACAATACGTGCTGGAGAGGGTGTGGAGAAAAGGGAACCCTCCTATACTGTTGGTGGGAATGTAAATTGGTACAACTATAGGAAAGAGTATGGAGGTTCCTCAAAAAACAAAAAATAGAGCTATCATGTGGTCCAGCAATCCCACTTCTGGGCATATACCCAGATGAAACTATAATTGGAAAAGATATATGCACCCCTATGTTCATAGCAGCACTATTTACAATAGCCAAGACAGGGAAACAACCTAAATGTCCACCAACATATGAATGGATAAAGAAGAAATGGTATATATACACAATGGAATATTGCTCAGACATAAAAAAGAGTGAAATAATGCCATTTGCAGCAACACGGTTAGACCTAGA